GACAATTTTCTCGACCGCGCAGGGTCGTCAACTCAAGAGTGACATTAGGCCCTAGGCAAAAATAAATGCAATGGAAATATGGCGCCAACTTATTCTGTCGGATCGCAGCCGATTCTCGTATATGGGAGTTAAGAGTGAAAATTCGAGAAAGCTCACGATTCTAGTAAACAGTGGTATGCAGGAAGAGCGACCAATAGTTGGATCAATTTCTGAGGAGCAGGGAAGAAGTTTCGGGACGTGATACTGATGCGGAAAGGACAACGAGATCCTGCCAACTTTCACGTATGGTAATGACGCAGCTACTCCAGGCGGATGCATCAGAACGCGAAAACAAGGAGACCTTTAGTCTTATTAATGGCAAGATTGCAGGAGTTACGAACGTCAAGGGTTTGGAATTTACTTAAAAGAGGGTTCGTTTACTTGCGCTCAACCTATCAATCTCTCTCGTCACTGTACTTATAGAGGGTAAATTAAGCACATATGTTAAAATTGCAGTGTCAAAACCGTAGAAAACCCTCTGAAAGGAAGATGAAGCATCATTTCGGGTGCAAATTTTCCTAGGATAAGGAGCCAAGGATTAAAGCATTCCACTCCAGTGGGCGAAACAGAATCAAAATGTGCAACATAACATCGATTTGGGCTCAGAAAGTGGAACTATTTTCACATGTAACCAGGCGATGTTGCAAGGGATCCAATGTGTCTGAATTACTGATGACTGATCAGTCAGAAAGTAATCAAGGGTCGTCTAGTCGTCACCCTTAGGGCCTTGGATGTAACTGAGGAAGAAATGCTTTCGCTTCCGATGGGCTTTCCTCTCCACCCGTTATGCCTCGCGTATACATACCAATCAACCGTTTATATGCTTGAACACACGATAACAACAGGAAACGAGATAGGATACGCAGGAAGCATGGCCTACTGCTGATGTGCGCCAACGAGCCTGAAGTCACTTCAGATGACAGCTTTGCGCATCCAACAGAATAACTGTCGGTTAAAAAACAGACCGGTATACCGTAAAAAACGAAAAACAAACGGTAGAAAGGTATCGACCGTGAAAACAAATCGGGATCACAACGCGACGGATAAGCCATGGGTCAAGAGAATAGCTCACTGCACTCAAGATTGCAGGTATTTCAGTCAGGCGTTTGTTCATGTACCCACTCTGTTGGGCAGTCAATTGGTTATTCAGTTCATTCAGTCGGATATTCAGTATTTGTGGCAATGACCGACTGTGCATAAAACCATAATTCTTCTTCTCTCTCGGGCTAGAAATAATCGTGAAGAGAATGCCCAACTCCGTTGACCAAACCAAACACGTGTTATAGGGGTGGTGCAAATTTGTTTTTCTGCTGTGATAAACAGCGAACCCTCTTGTAAACAACGTCGATTGATATCTTGCCACCGTGTAGAATGAGAAAGCGATATAGTGATCAATTTTGCCTTAGTATAACGTTCGACTGTTTCTACGAAAACCCCAATGAAAGAAGCAAGTAAAGTACAAAGTGAGGGTGATGTTGAAAAGCTTGTGAAGTGACAAACAGAAGTCTTTGCATGTACCAATGCTTGACCGCTTTTTCGCAAACGTGTAGTTAGTTTTAAATATTTTCAAACATCAGATTAGGGGTGCTGTTAACATCAGCAGCATTTTCTACGAAGAGGCAAATCCATCTTGGGCGAAAATAGAATCTCTACACGAAGGCAGTGGTTAGTCGACTTTCATAAGAAACGGAAAGCTTGCTGCTTCAGGAGATCGTCCCAGTAGACTTTAGTTGGTTAGACCTAAAACTTTGCGGGGACATGGTTTTAATTTTTGGAATGAGCCACGGACGCATTATGGATAAGTGTGAGCCGAATGATGCTTGCGAAATCTCCAATAATCTCCCTCATTTTCTTCGCTATATTGGATTCGAATGCCATGATACTCTTTTCAGTTCCATTCTGATCAGATGGCCAAAACGTCCTTATCCGGCCTTGATTAAAACTGACAGGTGCCTCGTAGGTTCTTAACCGTACAATAGTACAGCTCATTACTGGATGTGCTGGGGTGATAAACATCTGAAATATCTTCGGGAAGCAAGGGATATCCAACCACATTCATTGAGGCTAGACAAAACGTATGACTGGATTTTCGTTACTGTTTGCAAATGGCATGGGAAATAGTTTCTCTTTGTTTCATTTGGTAAGAGCAAGCAACCTCCAAAAGCAATAGTTCAAACTGTTTCAATGGGGCTGATAATCACTGTACGCCCCAGTGTCACACTCACTTTTCTCATAAAAATAGCCGCACTGTCAGACTAACATGTTTTGTTCATTGCTTCAGAAAAAAATATCCCTGGTAAGTAGCGGAAGGTGTTCCAATATAAGGTATTATGGTATTTGGAAACGTGAAGGCAGAGTGTGAAATGCCGTCGGTCTGTGTAA